CCCGAGCGAGGAGGAGGGAGGCGTGCTGATGGAGAGGGATTGGGGTGCCCTCCACTGGAATCAAACCTGGGACCCTTCAGTCCGCAGGCCGGTGGTCTAATCACTGAACCAAACCCGCAAGGGCTACTTACATTTATATTCAAGACTTCTTTTTTACTGAGGTGAAGTTCACATAACAGTCCACCATGTTAACCATTTTAAAACGCACAGCAGAGCTGAAGCCGGTTTGGCTCAGTGGTAGAGCATTGGTCTGCAGACTGAAAGGTCCCAGGTTCAATTCCGGTCAAGGGCATGTACCTTGGTTGCGGGCACATCCCCGGTAGGGGGTGTGCAAGAAGCAGCTGGTCGATGATTCTCTCTCATCGATGTTTCTAGCTCTCTATTTCTCTCCCTTCCTCTCTGTTAAAAATCAATAAAATATTAAAAAAATAAATAAATAAAATAAAAAAATAAAACGCACAGCAGAGGCTTTAATACACCCCAAAGTTCTCAGTCCTCACCATCGTGTAATTTCAAAACCCCCATCACTCGGGCAGTGCAGACGGACCCAGTGAGCAAGCACCCGCCCTGTGAGGGCGCCCGTGGGCATGGAGCGGGAGCCCCTGTGGGAGACCGCATGGAGTGATGACCAGCACGGCCGTGGCTCTGAAGCTGAGTGTCGACCTGTGAACCAGGAGGTCAGGGTTTGATTCCCGCTCAGGGCACAGGCCCGGGTAGCAGGCTCGGTCCCAGTGTGGGGCGTGCAGGAGGCAGCCAAGCAGTGATTCTCTCTCATCACTGATGCTTCTGTCTCTCCCTCTCCCTCCCTCTCTGACATCAATAGAAATATAATGTTAAAAAGGGTCATTAGAAGGACCCATGGCCAGCAGTCTCGGTTCAGCATAGGTAATTGGAGGAAATGAAACCAGGGTCTGGGAGAGAGGCCTGTGGCCGTGCTCATGGCGGCGCCCCTCAGTGGCCGAGACAAGGAAACGGCCTAGCGCCCCAGCACGGGAGTGGCACCGGACGTGGCACCGGACGGGAGGAGGCGGGCGTCCTGCCGTCTCCACATGGATGGGCCTCGGGATGTTGTGCAGGGGAAGTGCCTGGGCGGCAGGACCCGCTGACACTCCTCCGTGGACTCTGAGAGGATTGAAGCAGAGCGCAGTGTGGTTGCTGGGCTGGGGCCGGACCTGGGGTGGTGCTGGCAGGGCGACAGACGTCCAGTACAGGATGATTGTCCTGAGCTGGTGAGCATGCTCAGTCCCGTGCTGTCAGCTTGGAAGGCGCTGAGAGCAGGTGCTCAGCCGTCTCCCTGCAGAACACGAGGGAAGCACGCGAGGGGAGCAGGTGTCTCTGTGCAATGTGTGCTTAAACGCACAACGCTGCCCGGCGGGCATGGCTCTGTGGTTGAGGGTCCACCTGTGGACTAGGAAGTCAGGGTTCGATTCCTGGTCTGGGCACATGAGCAGGTTGTGGGCTCACCCCAATGTGGGGTGTGCAGGAGGCAGCTGATCAATGATTCTCCTCATTGATGTTTCTCTCTTCCCCTCTCCCTTCCTCTCTGGAGTCAGTAAAAATATAAATATATATATATGCATATATATATATATTAATATAATCAATAAAAATAAAAAGTTACACAACCTTAGGTGCTCTCCATGGCCAAGCTTGGCCAAGAGCTGGTGTGGATGCAGAGCCAAGGCAAAGGGGTGGGCGGGGCTTGGGCGGGCGGAACCAGGAAGTGGGCGGGACCCGGCGGCGGTGGGCGGGGCCTGAGGGTTGGGCCGGAGGGACGGCAGGTGCGGGTCCAGGCCCAGCTCCTGCACCAGCTCTGAGCACCCCCCGGGGCCCTCAGCTGCCTGCCGCACCCCCACTGTGTGTGGAATCCCACCTTTTCAGCCTGCGATGCCGCGGCCACACCCTCCTCTTCCCGGCCGTGCAGAGCTCCGCCCACGCTGCGGCGGGCGGAGCCGGGAGCGGCCAGTTTCTCTGTCCGGCACCGCCGCCTCCGGAGCGGCTTGGGCGGCCCCGCAGCAGGCGCTGGGCTGCTGTCCCTGCCCCACACCCCTCTGGGTTCTGTTCCCAGACACGCCTGTTGGTGGTCTCCCACAGCCTGCACCCCCACTTCCCACCCAAGTGAACCCTGATTTTTGGGGGGCCTGGTCCTCTCTGCCATACTCACTCCCACCTTCTTGGGGCTCAGGGATGCCCAAAGGGATTTAGGGAGCAATTTGCTGGGAGCCTCTTACCAAAGGACATCAGGCATTTTATTTTATTTTTTAAAAATACTTTTATTGACTTCAGAGAGGAAGGTAGAGGGAGGGAGAATCACCAATCGGCTCCCTCAGGCACGCCCCCCACTGGGGATTGAGCCCCCAACGCGGGCATGTGCCCTGATCGGAATCGAACCTGGGACTCTCCAGTGCACAGGCTGAAGCTCCATCCACTGAGCCAAACCAGCTAGGGTTAGACATTTATTCTAAAGATGGCTGTCCTTTTCCTGCCTGCCTCTGCCTTCCTGTGTGAAGAGGTGCCGTGGCAGCCACGTCTGGCCATGAGGCAGCACTGGGAGGTGGCCTGGCAGAGAGGAGAGATGGGCGTCTGCACTCCTAAAATGGAATGCATCACTTTTTACTTATTTTTCTTTTTGTAAAAAATATATTTTACTGATTTTTTTTTGCAGAGAGGAAGGGAGAGGGATAGAGAGTTAGAAACATTGATGAGAGAGAGACATCAATCAGCTGCTTCTGGCACACTCCCTACTGGGGATGTGCCCACCTCCAAGGTACATGCCCTTGACCGGAATCCAACCCGGGACCTTTCAGTCCCCAGGCTGACGCTCTATCCACTGAGCCAAACTGGTTTCAGCTATTTTTCTTTTTGAAATATATTTTTTATTGACTTCAGGGAGGAATAGAGAGGGAGAGAGAGAAACATCACTGAGAAGAGAAAATCATTGATTGGCTGCCTCCTGTACACCCCACACTGGGATTGAATCATGACCTCCTGGTTCATAGGTTGACGCTCAACCACTGAGCCCTCCGGCTGGGCCATCACTTTTTAAAATATATGTTTTTTCGTTGATTTGAAGAGGGAGAGGAGAGAAACGTCAATGACGAGAGGGGATCACTGGTCAGCTGGCTGCCTCCTGCATCCTGTGCCCCCCCCCCCGGGGGATTGAGCCCGCAGCCAGGCATGTGTCCTTGACTGGAATTGAACCTGGGGCCCTTCAGACCGCAGGCCGATGCTCTATCCTCTGAGCCACGCGGTTGTGGCTGGGCCACTGCTCTTTATCCAGGTGAGGAGTGTGGGAGGCACGGAGCTGGAACGGGCTGCTGGGTCCGAATGCATCGTAGTGACAGAGCGGCCGGGGGCCTTTGGGAAGGGAGTCAGGTGACCGCTCTGCTGGGGGCTCCGGCCACCTCGTCGCACTCAGAGCAGCAGGCCGAGCCCGCAGCCTGGCCTCGGGGCCCGGGTCACCCCGGGCCTCTGCACACGCCGATCTCACTTCTCTCCACACACACACACACACACACACACACACACACACACCCCGGGGGGCGGGGCGTCACTCCCTGTGTCCGCTGTGACTCCGGGCGGCTGGTGTGGACTTCGCTCTCCACTGGCTGAGGAGGGGACGGTGTCTGACCCCCCCACCCCGTCCCCTGAGCAGGAGCCACCAGGCTGAGCCCGCTGGCACCGCCGGCACACGGCACAGCGCTGCCTGTGGAGAGCACAGCCCCCTGGGGCCTCGGAGCCTCTGCGGCGTGCCCGGTGCCTGTGGGGGCGCTGAGCGGTGCGTGGACACGGAGCACACACGGCCCCCCGTGGAGTGGTCACTGAGTGGCTGGGCTCGGCGCGGACCCAGGAACAAGGTGCCCAGCAGGGCCCCTGCCGGCTGTGGGCTCCATTCCCAGGAGGGGCGAGCCAGAGGCACTGCCAGCGATGTCCTCTGTGGCCGCTTCCCTGTCTCTGTCCCCCCAACACACACACACGCGCACACATACGCACACACACGCGCACACAAGCACACGCACACAAGCGCGCACACACACGCGCGCGCACACACACGCGCACACACACGCACACACACACGCATACGCACACACACACGCGCGCACACACGCACGCACACGCACGCACGCACACATGCACGCACACATGCACGCACACGCACACACACACGCACGCACACACACGCACGCACACACACACGCACACACACACGCACACACACACACACACACGCGCGCACACACACACACACACGCACATTTTAAAAGACATGAGCGCTGGCGGAAGGACAGGAAGTGTGGAGGTCTGGAGGCTCACGCGGGTGGAGGGAAGGCTGGACGGGACGCAGGGCGGCCAGGCGGGGCTGTGCCTCCGGACCCCCCCCCCCAGCCCGGGGCGCGGAAGGCGGCGTGCGGCTGTCGAAGGTGCCGAAAGGACGGCGAGCGGGCCGGCCCGGCTTCCCGGGAGGAGGAAGCACGGGCGGCCAGGAGCCTGCACCGCTTCGGGCGAGCGCTGAGCGCCGGGCGATGCCTCCGGGAGGGGCAGAGGGTCTCCTGGGCGCTCGGCTCGGCCGTCGAGGGCCCGGGCCCCGCCCAGCCCCGGCCACCGCGCCGTTCAGCACCGGCCAGCGCCCGCCCGGCGCGCCGGACGCAGGGAGGGACGCACCCGCCGGCCGGGCTCGGGCGCAGCGGGGCGGACCGGGCCGCGGCGCCTCCCGGGGGCCGGCGGCGGGACCCGCGGCGGGACCGGGCGGCGGGACCGGGCGGGGGCGGCCGCTGGGCGGGGCGGGCGGCGCGGGGCGGGCGGCGCGGCCGGATTGGCCGGGCGCCGCCACGTGACCGGCCCCTTATAGGGCGTGGCGCGGCGGCCGGGGCGGGTGCGGCGCCTGCCGGGCCGGGCGAGGTCCGTGCGGTCCGGCTCCTGACCGCTGGGCTGCGAGCGCCGGGCGCGCCCGCCGTTTCCCAGCCGGGTCCGGCGGGGGATGCGCGCGGCGCCCGGGAGCCATGGTCCGCTTCGGGGACGAGCTGGGCGGCCGCTATGGGGGCGCCGGCGGCGGGGAGCGGGCCCGGGGCGGCGGGGCCGGCGGCGCGGGCGGCCCGGGCCCCGGGGGGCTGCCGCCGGGCCAGCGGGTCCTCTACAAGCAGTCGATCGCGCAGCGCGCGCGCACCATGGCGATGTACAACCCCATCCCGGTCAAGCAGAACTGCTTCACCGTCAACCGCTCGCTCTTCATCTTCAGCGAGGACAACGTCGTCCGCAAATACGCCAAGCGCATCACCGAGTGGCCATATCCTCCGGGGCCGGGCGGCCGGGCGGGCGGGCGGGGGCTGCCCCGGGCGCGGGCGCAGGGCCGGCGCCGGGTCCGGCGCCCGCGCCCCGCCGGGTGCGGGAGGGGCGGCTGGGCCGGGGCCAGGGCGGTGGGTCGTGCGGCGCCCAGTGGCCATCTTCCCGGCCAGGCGGAGGGTGCGACCCGGGAGCGGCACCGGGGACTCGGCTGGAGGGGGCGGGGCGGGGCTGCGGGGCCTCCGCCGCCGCGGGTGCGTGTGCGCGCGCGCGTGGTCGCGGCGCGGCGGGAGCGGGTGGACGCTGGGCGGAGCCCCCCGCCCCGGGCACGTCCCTTCGCTCCCGGCCGGATGCCGAGCGCAGGCCGCCTGGAGGGCGCCGCGGGGGCGCCGGGTTTGGGGGTGCGAGCCCCGGGGCCGCGGGCCGCGCGCCGGGCAGCAGGTGCGGCGTGTGTGCGGGCCCCTCGGGACACGCATGTTCACGTGCCCGTGTCGGTACATGTGGCTACGTGTGCCGCTGGCGGGAGTGCGCCTGCGCGGGGTCCCTCTCCAGCCCGGGCGGGGGGCGCACCGCCTCCTCCCTCCGGGCCTCCGGGCTCCGGGCCGGAGCCGACGGCGCTGTCCGCGGTGCTGACGGCGCCGCGCCGGCCCCAGGGCTGGCGGCCGTGACCGCAAAGGCCTGGCCTCGCGGCAGCCCCCAAAGATAAAGGCGGAGGGAGCGGGGGCCCTGGAGGGAGAGGGGGCCCTGGAGGGGTCACTCTCAGGCCCCCGGAGGCCGCCTGGCCGCCTCCCCTCCCCCTGGCGCTCCGGCCGCTCCTTAACCCACGCACTCCCTTCGAGTACATGATCCTGGCCACCATCATCGCCAACTGCATCGTGCTGGCCCTGGAGCAGCACCTCCCTGACGGCGACAAAACGCCCATGTCCGAGCGGCTGGTGAGTGCGGGGGCCGTGCCCCTCCCTCCGGGGCGGCGACCGGAGCGCGCGGCGGCCCCTCCCCAGGGCCAGGAGGATGGGGCAGCCAGGCAGCCGTGATGGCGAGGCGGTGAGGGCTCCGTCCAGCGCCCCAGCCACCCCTGCACCCCAGTCCCCAGGCCTTAGGCTTCTCGGTCTGAGGGCGGAGCGCTGGGCCTGGGCGTGTGATGCTGATGCACGGCTCAGGGTCAGGAACGCAGGCTCCGGGGAGGGCGGCTGGCGGCTGGGCCGTGGTGGCCTCTGCCCTGGGTGCCCCCTGGGTCTGCCAGTCTCCGCCTCGGGATTGTCTCCTGGCTTGGCATCCCCTGGCAGCCTTCCCTCCCCGCTTTCTTCCTGAGCACCCAGGTGTCCCCACCGTCCTGCCACCCCTCACAGACCCTGTGCCACCCCCCCTGAGGCCTGGAGCCTTGGATAGGCTGGGTGCCAGGGCGGGGCCTCTGGAGGGGGGGCAGCGGGAAGGGTGAGGTTTGGGGAGGTGAGGCCAGGTCCCCCGGCCCCGGCCCTCCCTGCTGCTGGGCCCTTGGCCTGGGCTTGCCGTGGGCCCGGAGGCTGAGCCGGAGCAGAGAAGGCAGAGCAGGAGGATGCAGGCAGCGGCTGGAGCTCTGCCGCCTTGGGCACGTGACTGCCGGGCCTCTCCCCTCACTTCCTGGAGATGAGCAGCGAGGACGCGCATGGCCGCCGGTGCCTGGCGTGGGCCCTGGGCTTCCCTCCTCCCCCATCCTGGGCCCAGTGGGGGTTGGGGGGGACAGTGGGCCTGCCCTGGGGCTCGCCGTCGCACTGGGAGAAGGCAGGAGGTGGGCAGCCGGTGGGGCGGGACAGGGATGGAGGTTTCGGGGGGCACGCGTATCTTCAGCATGGGGAAGGCGGGGGCAGTCAGCACAGCCCTGCCACACCGAGTGGGACGTGTCCCGTGTGGCTCTTGCTCCGGCGTGGCTGGGCTGGGCAGGGCCACTTGCCTTCTGGGCCTGGCTCCGCTGGCATTGTGGGCCCTGTGCCAGCATCCACTCTGGAGGCAGATGAGGGCGAAAGGCAGAGGGAGCTGGGGACGCAGGCAGGGAGCCTTAAGGCCAGCCCCCGGGACCCCGTCCTGTCCCCACGGGAGGGTGTCCGGGGTAGGGCTGGAGAGAAGCGGGTTGGGGGCGGGGGCTCAGCCGGTGCCCGCTGAGGGGGCCAGGCTCGGGTGGGCCAGCTCCTGCCTCCTGGGTAAGGGGGTTGGGTTTGTGGGGAAGGGGCGGGCACACTTCTCAGGGTTGGGGCCAAGCTGCTGGGAAAAGGAGCATAATGGGGTCCCTCTGGGGTGACCCCAGTCCCTTGGGAGGGACTGAAGGCCAGGCTCTGAGGCTGGTGCCACCGCCTGGGGAGCAGGGGGAGGGGGGAGGCGGGCATCCTGGTCGGGGACGGGGCCGCCATGGCTCTCTGCCTTGGGGGCTCTGCTTGCCTCCCTCCACCTTCCAGCGCCTTCAGCTGGAGCCCTGGCTGGCGGGCCCCATGCCTCCCCCACGCCCTGGCTCAGCCCTGTGATCCGGGTGGAGCTGAGGGCAGAGCTGAGGCCAGGGTCAGCGTCGCCCGCCATCGGGCTCTGGGCTGCCCCCCTGCCACTCAGAGGCCTTCTGTGAGGTGGGCCCTGTGCTCCCTGGGGCGGAGGGGAGAGGGGCCATCTGGCCGGAAGCCCGGGGGGCCCTGTCATGAGTCAGCGTCCGTGTCAGGGCTGCCGTCGCCGTGGGCAGGGGCGGCGGGCTGCGGGTCCGTGGCAGGGCCTTGGGCCAGGCTCCGGGGAGAGGAAAGCGCCGGCCCTTGTCTGAGTGGAGCTGCAAACCGGGCCACAGCCCCGCCCCCTGCACCCAGCGCCGCAGGTCCCCAGGCTGGTGACCCCGCCACAGCCGGCTGGGCAGAGCGCTCTCCAGGCTCCAGCCCTTCCTCACCATCCTCCTCGGGCACCGGGCAGTGGCCTGGCATGTGGGCGCCTGTGGGCTGCACTGTGGCCAGCCATTTCCTGCAATGACCCTCCTATGGGTCTCCCCCCAGCCCCCCATGGCCTGGCTCCCCGCTCACCCGCGCTGAGGCCCTCCCTGCTGGCCGCCCTGGCACAGCACAGCCTCTGCCGTCTCCACGGGACGTGTGCTCAGCTGAGCAGGATGGGCCGCGCTGGGCTGAGGGACGAGGTGGAGGGGGCGCTTGCATCGTTGGCTCCTCTCTGGCACCCGCCTGCCCGCCCGCACTGCTCCCCTCGCCACAGCGCCCTGCCTGTGGCCGGTGGGCGGGACGTCCCTCAGGCACCCTGAGGCGGCCACGTGTGCTCCGGGACCTGCAGGTTTCGAGGAGCGAGCGTCTGGGACTGTGCGTCAGTTCATGAGCCAGTGGGTCCCGGGCTGCGCTCCGAGTTGGGGCACCGGCCCCGGGCAGAGGGCAGAGGGCAGAGGGCAGAGCCCGGGGCCTTGGCTGGTCTTCTCTGTGCCTCCGAGTCTTTCGAGATGGGGGGCGGGACTGGGATGGGGCGTTGACAGGTCACTGCAGGGGACGCCCACCCGTGGCCGTCGCACCTGCCCGACCGCCTGGAGGGCCGGGCGGGGCCCTTGGGGGGGCGGGCCTGGGCCGGAGGGCGGGCGGGGCCCTTGGGGGGCGGGCCTGGGCCCGCGGGCAGCGGCGAGCGCGCGTGTTCTCCGCAGGACGACACGGAGCCCTACTTCATCGGCATCTTCTGCTTCGAGGCGGGGATCAAGGTGGTGGCCCTGGGCTTCGTGCTGCACAAGGGCTCCTACCTGCGCAACGGCTGGAACGTCATGGACTTCGTGGTGGTCCTCACGGGGTAGGTGCCGCCCGCACCGCGAGGGGCCGGCCGCGGCTGCGGGGCCGCTGGGGAGGGCACGGCGCGCCCAGGCCGCCCTCGGCGGAGCCTGCTGACCGGGCTGCAGGGCGGGGCCGAGGTGTGGGGGTCGGTCACCGAGGGGGAGGGCTGTCTGGGGTCTGAGCTTTGACCTGGAAGGTGTCAGTACCCCGCCTGCCCCACGTTTCTCCCAGATGGACCCTGACAGGACCCTCAGCAGCCCAGGGCCCAGGAGAGGACTTGGGGGTGGGCTGGGCAGGAGTGAGGCCGAGCACCTTGCTCTTCCTCATTGAGTCCCTGCCCTTCGGGCCTCGGTTTCCCCATCTGCCTGGTGGGTGCCTAGGGCCTTGCCTGTGACTGGGGAGGGAGGAGGAACCTTCTGCTGGGACGAGGGCACTGTCCACGGTGCTGCCGGCCCCGCCCTCTGCAGGCCCCGTCAGAGGCCCGCCGGTGGGGAGGGCTGGAGGCAGCTGGGGGACGGGAGCCGCACTGTTTACTCCCCTCTCCCTCCCTCCCTCCCTCCCTCCCTCCCTCCCTCCCTCCCTCCCTCCCTCCCTCCCTCCCTCCCTCCGGCCCCTTGTCCCTGAGGAGGCCCCTTGTCTCTCAGGGTGTCCCCAGAGCCTGGCGCTGGGCGGCTCCCAGGAGCACAGGGGTGTCTGCACATTAGAGGGAACCGGAGGGCGGGGCTCGGGGCCTGGGAGCGGCTGTGCTGTGGCGGGGGGGGGGGGGGGGGGGGCTCCGAGGTGGAGGGCCTCAGGCCAGGGAGCCCTGAGCCTCCGGGGTCGGGAGAGGGGGCGCCGGCCCATGCCCGTTGCCCACACTCCTGGTCACAGAGCGTCGAGGGGCTCACCTTCCTGGGAGCCCCAGCCAGCGGGTCCCTGGTCCCCAACTCCGCCTTGGAGACCCTCCCTCCGTCCTCTTGGTTCCTCCGCCTCTTTCCTCCCTCTGTCCTTTCTCCATGTGCTGCCCTCCTCCTCCAGGTCTCCCTTCCTCCCTCCCTCCCCCCCTTTTCCCCCTTCTCTCCCCCTCCCCACCTCCTCCAGATCTCCCTTCCTCCCTCCCTCCCTCCCCTCCTTCTCCCCCTTCTCTCCCTCTTCCCACCTCCTCTAGATCTCCCTTCCTCCCTCGCCCCTCCTCTCCCCTTCCTCCCCCCCCCCCCCCCCCCGCCTCCTCGTCTCTCTCTCTCTCTCTCTCCCATTTCACTTTATTTTTCTCCTGGTCTTACGTTCCCTTTCTCTTCTCTGGCCTCGTGGCTCCCGGGCTCCCGTCTGAGTCCCTGAGACCCCGCGCTCTGTGTCCTGGGGCGGGTGCTGCTGGGCGGTCCCCAGGCTCCTGGCTCTGCACCTCATCCCCAGGGGGCGCTGGGCTGGGAGGGGAACCCCCAGGCAGGGAGGGGACCTGTGTCCTGGGGGGTCACACGTGGCCGGGGTCCCAGGTAGCTGCTCCCTCCTGCTGCAGCACACAGGATTCGCGACCCGGTGTGCACGTGCGTGCGTGTGCACATGCGTGCGTGTGCACGTGTGTGCACGTACATGTGTGTACATGTGTACGTGGGGTAGAGGGAGTGTTTTTCGGGGTGAGCGCTGGCCGGTGGGGAGTCAGGGAAGAGCCCTAACTCTCAGCCTCCTGAGCCGAGGTCCCCGTGGGCAGCGCGGGGTTACTCTCCGCTGGCTCTTGTTTTTAATTAGGGTTCACTCACGCAATGCTCAGGGGGTGGAGACTGGGGGGCAGGTCTCAGGCGGGGGAGGCCCGTTGCCTGGAAGCCCAGCTCTTCCCCAGGGCCGGCGGGGCCTCCTGCTCTGAGCTGCGGCAGGTCCTGGGGGTGCCCGCTGGCCCCACCCTCCCCCTGGGGAGCCCTCAGCCTCCCTGC